ATTTACGTTTTCTTTTTTCCCCCCCCCCCCCCCCCCCCTTAATAGGTAAAACTGTGAAACTAAAAATTAGCCTGGTAACTAATCTAAAACAGAACAAATCAGAGGCCTGAAGGTTCTAAAAATATTTGCGTTTAACAGAAACTACTCCAAAGAGTGTACAAACAAAAAGGATATGACTGCTTTTTAAAAGAAACTTCTACTGATATAACTGGAAACAGAATTGTCTAGGTACTTTGACAGTGTTTTCATTTGCTAAAGATATTGAAGTTCTCGGTGAAGCTACTTTAAGGTACGTACTTTTCATAACAGAGTTGAACTGAAAGCACTGACTGTTATCTTGTGTATGAAAATATTTCTTCTGCCTTTCCATGGAAAGGTGTGTGGAATTCAAGTCAAGTTCCAAAAAATCAAATAAGCTTTCAGTGCTTTCACATCTAATTGAGGCAGAAGTTTTAATGCGACTAAACAGCTGAATCTTTATAGTACAATTGATCCACAGAAGCTATTTAGGCTTTAAAGTATATTTGCTAGGTTTGGGGAAAAAAAAAGATTGTGTGTATTAAATAATCTACTATTTTCATGCAAAAAAACTTAAGGGGAAAAATTATACCTTACGTGCTACACCAAAAAAACAAGTGTGTAACAACTGCAACAATGGTAGCTATTTACTATAATTATAGTACAACCTAAAAGGAATAGCACTATTTTTTAACCGTATTATCTTCTCTGTTTAAATGTACTTACATAGGACACTGCCTTCTTATTCCGGACAGACTTTTGCAATGGCACAATGAATATGTGCTCCATGAAATCTAGGCAGCAAAAGGTACAAGGGAGACAGAAAAAAGGCTTATACCCGCTACAGATTTTTTAAATAATCTGCTTTTGACTGCTTAAAATATTACAATTGTCATGAAGGCTTTTCATTTACCATTGGACACAGGAGTCATATGTTGATAAAACACTTGGAGTGGATTACAACTGTCGATGCAATGCTTCTGGAAAAGGCAGGATTGACTGTCCTGGGGACTGTAGTCAATCCCAGAAGAACTACCATATTAGCAGTCATGCAAGCTTCCCCATTCATCTGCTTCACTTCACTGCCCCGCTTCTAAAGATGAAGATAGCAATCCAGGTCTCCATGGCCCTTTCAATTCTTGGCCAGTTATGTGAGACGCTAATAGTATTGCCAAGTGCCAACTGCATGGATAGTTTTGTGCTGTACACACAGAACCACCAGGAACTGTATTTCATACAGGCCAATAAATGGTACCAACCAGTGCCGGATTTAGGCACAAGCTAAGTCTATAGCTTAGGGCCTCACATTTATGAGGGGCCTCTAAATATGAAATTCCCCCCCAGTAAAACCTCACAAATCCAACGTGCTTGGGATACAGCGTGTCCCGGAAATTTGAAAACACCATTTTTTTTAAACCAGCACTACTGCCAGTTGCAGAGCTTGCGGGGGGTGGGGAAGGGAGGGTAGTGGTGGCCAGTCCCAGAGAACCAACTGCATGCAAAGCAGTGGCATAGGGTGCTTAATCGAGGCGGCAGCAGCTGTGTGCAAGCTTCCCCCAGCCCCACCCCCACTCCAATGCCCTGCCCCCTAACCAGAAGTCTCTGCCTGCCACACCTTTCGGGCTGCTTCAGCACCATGTGGCTGCATCACCAGACCATGGGAGCACAGGACACCCCAGAGCCAGAAGTGGTGGTGTGCGTGTGAGAGAGACGGAGACTGACTGTGTGTATGTGTGCGTCTGACAGAGAGACTGTGCGTGCTGATCTGCGTAATTGCTCTTGTGTTGCTGTAGATTAAAAATTTGCATATATGTTAATGAAGAAATCATAAAGTACTTTAACTTGAAAGTATTTCATAATGCACATGGGTGATTGGTGCTTTGAGTCAGGGGGGTATGTGCCCCCCCTTACATGAGTCAGTGACCAGCAGCCGATCCCACTGACTGGGGTGGGGGGCCTGATCCCACTGCCTGGTGTGGGGGAGACCCCCATAGCCAATCTCGCTCACCAAAAAATGGCTGTGCCGCCTCCGGAAGTCCTATGGCTGGCGGGCTTTTGCTGGCAACCCCACTCCCCAGCCGCTGCTTGCAGGGTGGGGACACTGGTGCTCCTACCTGCTCCTCTGCCTGCTGGGTAAACATGGAGTGTGGCCTGACAGGGGGTGCACTGGCGCTTTCCCCTGAACCCCCATGCATCCCATTCGTGTTGCCACTGATGATACAAATAGGCTTATTGCAAGATATGTTTTAGTTAGATTATTAGTTTTGCATTGCACCTTTGCCTATGTATACATGCAAATATAAAGCTTTAATATTTCAATTTTATTTGTCCTTTCTGTTAGAATAATACTTTTTTTTGATAATGCTATGGAGCCTCTTAAACTTGACATAGCTTAGGGCCCCAGCATGTTATAATCCGGCCCTGGTACTAACTTTTAATTACTACTGGACAGGATTTCAACCAGCAACCTAGAGATGAGAGATTCTATTTATTTGTAGTATAATAACACCTAGGGACCCCAGTGGCATCCCCTACTGTTAGACACTAATCAGACACAATAAAAAGACAGACTATACCCAGAGGAATTACAGTTCAAGTATAACACAAAAGACAATAGATGGATACAACAAAGCAACTATAGTATACAAAAAGTGGCCATATCATACCAGCTGCCTAATATCCTGTACCCAGTCTCCAGCACCATTCACATTCCTCTTTAATATATGAATACATTTGAAACCTGCACTGGTCTTCTTATAAGGCACATCAGATACCACCAACTCTGCAAATTATAAAGGCTTGGAGGTGTCCTAAATCAACAGAAGAAAAGGATGTGGACCAATGGCATAAATTTGCAGAAAAATAAGTTTAGATCGGATATCCAGAAAAACTTCACTGTTAGAATAGCGAGGCAGTGGAAGAGACTGCCTGGGGAAGCTGTGGACTCTTCATCACTGGAGGTGTTCAAGAGGAGGTCGGACACAGCCACTGATCAGGGATGATCTAGGTATAGCTATGCTTATGTTCTACTATGGCTATTTCCCATGCTTCTGGGATTCTCTGGTTGCCCCTGCCCACCCCCCTTTTCTGTTACGTGTGTCAGGGTGTTTTTACGCCTTTCCAGAGGCATTGGGTGCTGGCTACAGCCAAGGCTGGGGACTTTGGGGTGTGCCAAATACTCTTGCTGGGACTAAAGCTGGAGGTTCCTGGCTAGTCAGACTGGTCACATTTGGGGTCAGGAAGGAATATTACCCCATAGCCAGATTGGTATGAACTGTGGGAGTTTTTGTAGGGGGCATAGCCTTCTACCCAGGATCTCTTGAGCGTATATTGACAACATTTCATAGAAGCAGGAAGTTGGCTGCCATGGTTCCCCTGCTTTACCTGTGGCTGGTTCAGGTGTTAGGTCTGTGTTGTGTCAAGGTTGATGGTAAGCTTCTGCAGAGTTTAGAGTATGGTTTGGATGGGGAGGATCCTGCCTTGGGCAGGGGGTTGGACTAGATGACCTCTGGAGGTCCCTTCCAGCCCTACCTCTCTACGATCCTATCCTTCATATCATGTTGCCAGAATAAATAGCTGCTTTATAAAGGAGCTAACCACTCTTGCACTGAAACATCACAGCGACTTCCAGCTCCATAATTTTTGTTGAGCTGCAGCTCTCTCTGCTGGATTTGGGTAGCTTGACTGACTTTCTAAACAGGTTGTTCTATCAACTCTCACAGGAAATCCAGACACCACTAGAAAACAAACAAACAAAAAAAGTATTAACATTTTTAAGCATACAACAGGGCAGCAGAGCATATAGCTTGCTAAAATTCAGAACTTAGTCTATCAGTGCTCCAGTTAAATTAGATCTACTAATGTGGAAAAAATCCAGTGAATATTAATAGTTACATCTGAAATAGGAGCTTGTGTGGCAGGATGCCAAAGCAGCAATGACCATTGAATCTAATCGATTTATTATATCAAATTAAAATCAGTGAATCTTAGATGTACATCTCAGTAGAGGTCAGTCTTACAGCAATGATTACATAAACTGTTTTTCCTTAAATCAGCACAGAATCTAATCAATCTCCAGTACAGACATACAAATCAACACTAATTAGGAGCAGTTATTCAAGAACAGCTGTCTTCTCAAGCAAAGAGGGGACTACTCTGGGATGCAGTTTTGGCTACTACCAAACTACTGCTGACAGGGAGATTTCTGCCTCTGCTTGCAAGATCCAGCTACTGAATGCACAAGCCTGCTGTGCAATGTCTTCCAAGAACTTTTACCTCATGATAATCTCAACCTCCTACACAGAAGTTATTCTAATTTTTCCCGCGTTACTCAGTTACAAATGTGGTATCCAAGATGGCTTAACACAAAGTGTTATGCTTACAGCAAACTTGACAGCCGCTGATTCAGAAAGTGGGATGAAGGATAAACAAAGCACACAACCAAATACTGCAGCCAGCAGAGAAGCCATCAGCACCTGAAAAACAGAAAAGTTTTTTAGTTTAGGATTTCTGTGTGGCCTATGTCTAGCACTGTTGGGTTTTACCAGATTCTCCCAGTAAAGAATCCAAACCCACCCCCAAAGTGGAGAAGCCAGTTTTAAGAATCTAAATCACTCTATTAGATCCAGTTGTTCAAAGAGATCCCTTACTATGGCATACGGAGTAACTACTGTCACTTTAACACCCACAAGTCCAATGTAGCAGAGTCTTCCTCACTCCAGAGTGGCAGGCCCCATAATTCTGTCATGAAAGGAATGAAAAGTCTGATTTAGCAGCTGAGTTTTCCACTATGCTGGGAAGACTTGGAAACTACTGCCTTGGCTGGCAACACAGCAGGAGCAGGTTGCACAAATAAGGGGATTGTGCTGAAAACATCCTTTCCTTAGTTCTAGGAAGGTCAGTTCTAGTGACAGCAAAAACAGCTCAGCAGCTCTCAGTGGCAACTTAGCATCTCCCCTGGAAGTGCTCCCACAGAGCTCCACCCTCCTCCTGTCCATGTCTCAGGAGGAACCTAGAAAGAAGAGTGTCAGCAGGACCAGCAACATTGACCCTCTTTGGCAACAGGCTGAGAGCCAGGCTGGAGAGGTAACTTATGTTCCTTGACACCAGCTGGGGTGAATGTAACCAACTGAAAGAGCTGTGCTCTGAATTATGAATTTTGTACTTGGTCCTGAGGATTAGTAATCCAGTCACTGCAGCCCATATCCTGTGTGGCCTTCCTCCAAACGGGGTGGAAATGGCAGGAAAATTATTGGAATGGTCTAAGCATTATCGGATGGAGTGTTACCCCCTGCATTACTTCCTCTCATTGCCACCTCTGTGAGATGAGCTTCTCTTTAGGATCCCTGTCTTTTCCGGGGAGACCAAAAGAGCTTTTCAGGGATTGTGGGGTCGAAAAGAGCATGATTTGGCTATAAATCTTTCAGAAATATGGGAAGGAAGTAGTGGAAAATGGGTTTCTTAGACTGTATTTTACATCAGCTATTTCAGTGGTTTTCAACCATTTTAAACTCAAGACACACCTTGGAAAATGCCAGCTCTTCATTTCCATTCATTTTTTGACCACAGAAAAATAACAGAGCAATTCTTCTTTTGCGAAGAACTCAGAAAGACCATATCATGTCAGAATGTTTGCATTGGAAATTGCTGGGCTTTTCTTTTGAATCATTCTCTTATGAATTTTCTGCACACCTACAGTGCTAATATTGTGTTGCACCCTCAAAAGGATCTTGTAATGCTCCAGGATGCCATGACACCCTGGCTGAGAATCACTGAGCCATTTATTAGCATGGCATGATACTACCTGCAGCATTTCACTGTAAACACTACCTGGGACTATCCATCTCTTGTGGCTGGTGTATTCATCTCGTATCATCCCAACTGTCCATGTGGAAGCCCAGCTCTCACTACTGCTTTTTACATGATGAAGAAATGGTAGGATTTACACTCTTCAATATGAGAAAGAGATCTGACAGGATTAATGCTGCCTGTGCATGTGAGATGCAGAGGAAGCTTGGAATGAGGCTAGTGACAGCTGAAGCAGACATGCCTCATAGCTCATGTGTAAGACAGGCAGAGGGGGGTTTAGGAATGTGCATTTTTCAGATGGGAAAGCTGCTTCCCAGACCTGTTTCTTTGTGAACTGATGTCTGATTTTCCTGGTTGGAAATAAGACTGTATATGTGGCAATATGCAGGTAATACTTTCTCCGCTACTGAAAGTGGTCGGCTGAATAAACTACCAGCCTAGGATGATGGTCATGGCTCAGTTTCTCCTAACTGTGTCTTGAAAAAGTAGAGGCCAACATTTTCTGATGTTAGTGCCTGAAGTTAGACATCTACATTTGTACTTATGCAACTAAAGAAATAACTGCCTCCCACCTTCAGACAGCTGACCGCCCAAAGTTTCCACTGAAGCTGACAAGAGTTGTTTGTACTCCGTGGCCACTCTAGAAAAACAGGACCACTATTAGATTGTTGATTTGTTGTTAAAACATGCCAACCAGACTTTTTAATAAGATATGAGTCCAAAATAAGGGCCCAACTGGTGCTGAGATCCTGATATCCCTACAGAATGCGGACGCCCATGCCTCTCAGGACAGAGCAGGAGTTTCTACTCACAGCTTGAGACTGGGGTAGGCATTGACTGAGTGGTGCCTGCACCCTCTTGTGCATCTTGGATGCTGGTCCTGGCGCCATCTAGTGCCAGCTGAAGACTCTGAAGCTGCAACGCACTGAGATACTGGCTCTGCAATTTGGTAACCATGGCTGCATTCTCAGGGCCAAGGTTTGCTATTTGTTCTGGGGAGAGTACCTTGAGGAATAAGAATCAGAAAAATTGCTTTAGGAGATCTGTTACATTACCTGGAATTGGAGAACCACACTGTCTTATAGTTAGAAGGGGAGAAAAAGCCAAATAGGCCAAATACTCTATATTGCTATAAAAGTGCTCAGTTCTGCTGCTTTTTTTCTTTTCTTTTTTTAATTCCATTTGTTTGCTTCAAAGACCACTCATGTATCCTTCACCTTTCTCCCTCCTTCTGTGGTGGAGATGATACGGATATTCTCACAATACACTGAAAGTATCTAACAATCCAATATTGTTCTGGAGTCTCATTTTCAAACTACTTATTTCAGGATTTGCTCAAAGACTGATGCTCTAGTGCATCCTAATGCATTTTTGTCTCTTTCTGCTTATATTGGTTTCTATGGCTTCCCCATCCTTGACTATATATGCTGCATGTGACACGTGATTCTGCTGCCAATGCAACAATAAAAGGAGATGTTCTATTTGTTTTACTACCAAATTATTTTTTTCCTTCTAAACTGAAAATCTTCTAAGTTTGGTCATATTAATTCTTGTTATAAAAATGGAATATGGTAATCACAGTATTAGAGCAGTTATCTTACATTGCTCTAAACTTTCATCTACAGCACATGCTGTATTGCCCTGAGTGATAACTGCTAACATTCAGCATTTAGAAGAGTTCTAGCCCAACTACGTAGCAAGACTTGCTTGTTGTTGTAGTGCAGCAGCCAAGCTCTATTTGGATAAAGGGCCAAATTTCTTTTAGAAAAGAGGTAAGTCACAAATCAACCCCTTTCTTGTCCTGAATTGGTTTTGGCCAAGTATGTGTCAAAACTTGATAGTTTCACTAGTCTGCATTTCTATGAAGCTGTGCAAACTCCTGTGGGGGCATTTACAAAGTGGTGAATGAATCCATAACCCATCTGTCTTGTTAAATATAGAGGACCCTAAGACAACATAAGCTGAAGCTACACAAAACCTGGTCAAAGACAAATGCCCCTCTAAATTCCTGCAGTTGATGTAGAAAAAAACCCACTGCCTGTTCTGTGCAGTGTTGTGTCCCTTTAGAAATATCCTCCTTGTCAGAAATTCAGAACATTGCTAGGAGTTGGGAAAAGTCCTCTAGAGTCTATAGAATACCTTCAAACTCTGCTGTAGATTTTCACCAGTCCAGAACTAAGAGCAATAGTATAGGAGAAAGCTGCTGACTTCATCTGAGCTGTTAAAGATGCTGTATAGAGTGGCTAGTGTTCAAGGAGTGTGTCTTTTTTTATGGAGGTTTATACAGGTAAATTATCTGCTTGGTGCATGTGTTCCTTTTTATAGAACTGTTGAAGTGGAGGGGTTTGGACAGAGTTTCAGTTTTCTCTCCAAGTCAAATACACAGGGCCTAGGTCAGTGACCTCAGCATTCACATTCTAGAATCTGGGTCACATTTGGTACTTATGCAAACAGGCACAATTTCAATGAAGTCAGATGTACTAATTCCAGACTCAGCTGCACTTATTTTGGGGGAGAAATGCTGCTCTGGAAAGCTGCATCAAATTTCAGGGTTAACAAAAAAACCCTGAGTGTAACCAATAAGGCAGTTTGCAGCTGTGACTGTACTAGTGAAAAGATTAATTCGTTTTAATAAATAAAGGAGAAGGAGAAGAAGAAGACCAGAACCTAGAATCCATAGAGATAGACCTTGCTATAAGCCATCTGACCTCCCTGGCCTCAGGCTGGATTTTTACACCGTTTGTTAATGTTTTTTCCTTGGAATACATTTCATACTAAATATAAATTCAGTTTGACACATTTTATGGGCATCACAAACAAATGATATAGTTGAAAGTTAAAGTTTCATACATTTGACTGCCTCTCACTTAATAAACAAGACAAAAACCTCTGTGCTGAAACCCCAAAATAAAGCATAAATTAGTGTTGCAGTTTATTTATAATAGAGTAAAAATGATGGAAAATTTCACTTCAGTAACCGAGCACTTACTTTGAAAATTTCAGCAGGTATATGTCTTATTGCTGCTGGCTGGAAGTATGGCATAAGGTCTTTATCAAGAGCTTTTAATTCCTCTTCATGCAAGCCACCTACAGAAATGAAACAGGAATAGAACTTAGTTGATATTCTTTTAATTGGGGGAGTTTTATGCAAATGTGTTTCAAGTACTAATACATCTTAGGCAGTATTTATTCTTAAAATAGCTCCCGTTAAGAAAAAGGGAAATCATAATTCCCAAATCAAATAGAGAAAAGGAGCCCCACTGCCCTTATATAAATGCTCAAGGTTGAGGATCCTAACCTTAAGAGGTATATTGTAATTTAAATTAGCAAGTTATAATTTAAAGGCAAATATGTTATTTCCTTCCTGCCCCTTGCTTTCTTTCATTGTATTCCAACACCACAAACCAACTGACCACAAACATCTGGAGCACACAAAGACACAAGTAAAGAATTATACCATTACTTTACAAGCAAACATCATCAGTGCAGCAACGATACAATAACTGAAGTTTGTGGTGCTCTTCTCTGCAATACAGAATTACAGGATACCACCCCCAAAAGCTCTAAATAAGAAACCCTATGATGCAGACAATGCCCACTGGCAAAGGAAGCTTCTGCTGTTGCAGGAAGCTATCCTTGCACTTTGCACACACTGTTTAATGCTGTATAAAAAATGTCATTGTTGGACTGAGCACATACTTGAATTGGGCAGAAGCTAGAACTTCAGTGTCTCGGACGGCCGGAGCCGACTCGAGGTGATTTTCGAAATTACTCGTTTGCTGGGCGGGCTGGTGAATGGAGAGGCAGACAAAGCTTAATGGTTGCAAAAACTTTACTTACGCCGCTTGTAGCCACGACGCAGATGGTCCGGTCGTTTGAACAACTATGTGAGTTGTTCCAGCTGGCAAGGGCTCAGGCCAGCTAATCCGTCCACAAATTAAGCCGGCGGGGAAAGGGTATGTTGAGGATTGCGCTCGGCGACGGGGAGAAGAATCGATAGGTGATCAGTCTATTGATCAGCTCAGCTGCAAGTCAGATCTCTTTAGAGGCACTCTGCAGCGTGCTCAAAGTTCTCCGACTTGGGTGGAAGTCGCACGAAATTTTAAACGGCTAGCAAGCCAATTACTAGCCGCCA